CCATGTAATAACTTTGTCTACTAGTTTGTATTTTATTTTTGCCATTCTAGGGAGGGGAGGGAAACCCTGGTGGTGTAGTGGTTAAGAGCTAAGGCTGCTAACCAGAAGGTTAGCAGTTCGAATCCACCAGGCCCTGCTTGGAAACCGTATGGGGCAGTTCTGCTCTGTCCTATAGGGTCACTATGAGTCGGAATGGACTCGACAGCAACAGGTTTGGTTTTTTTAGGGAGGCGAGGGGGGAGAAATATCATTTCAACTGTAAATAAATACCCTTTTTATGTTTTTTAAATGCTGTTGAATTAAAAAACATTCTCATAATTTTTTCTGTTCTGATATGCTTCTTTTCTCATTCAGGAATTTTAATCCAAATGTGTAAGAATAAATTCTAGTTCTTATAAGTCGTTGAGTAGTATATTGAATAAAGCCTCCTGTTAATTACTGAAAAAATGAAGCAGTGTGTAATGTTTTCACACCCCAGTCGATATGTGACAATACATATTTCAAATATGATTCATTTTTCACTTCCTATCAACTGGGTTTAATCTCCCTGGAAATTTCCTTGTTAAAGAACCATAGCAGCTGGTCTTGTTGGGCTATGTGGAGTTTTCTGCTTGTCTAGTACTGCCCTCTGGTGACAGCTTCTTGAATTACATGCCATAGATTTTTGCCACTTAGTCTGAGAAAAGAGCCCTGGTAGCATAGTGGTTCAGAGTTCAACTGCTAGCCATCTAAGATGCTCCACTGGTCTCACCCCTTCAGGAACAAGGGAGAATGAAGAAAACGAGATATAAGGAGAAGATTAGTCCAAAGGACTAACGGACCACAACTACCAAGGCCTCCACCAGACTGAGTCTGGTACAGCTAGATGGTGGCCGGCTACCACCACTGACTGCTCTGACCGGGATCACAACAAAGGGTCCTGGACAGAGCTGGAGAAGGACGTAGAACAAAATTCTAACTCACAAAAAAAGACCAGATTTACTGGCCTGACAAAGACTGGAGAAACCTCGAGTGTATGGCCCTGGACACTCTTTTAGCTCAGTAATGAAATCTCTCCCGAGGTTCTCTG